TCTGGCGTGTTAAGAATAAGACCAAACATTTCGAAATTACTTACACGCCCTACAACTTCAACCATTAACCGAATGTTATTACTACGTGACTTGTTAAAATATCCCTATGCTAAATCGTTCTTCATAGTTATAATCCCGCCATATTTGACGTATAAATAATGTTCATGTAGGTTTGCATTTTAAGCGTGTTAAGCATGAAAACAGATATTTTAAAGTTATTACATGTATTTCCCGCTCAGTTGCTGCCACTTTTTTGATTTATCTTTTAGCCTATCAATACCCGGAGAATTCTTATTATTCTTGATAACCTCCAGTGCACGACAATCCCACTCAATTCGATATCGAACCAACGTCACGTTGATTATGGTGAGAGAGTATTGTAGTGATATTGGGCCCTAACCACACAATCCTCAAGGCTTAATACGAGACAACTTGGAAAACAGATATTCAACATTTGACGCAGAGAAAAACCTAATGATGGAGAAGGGGGAAACAATCAATCCAATTAATTCATATTGATCGGATAGCGTGGCTCGACCTTGTAGTTGTGGTCATACCTATGTAACAGCTTTTCACCTTTATTAAATATATTGTTCTTTCTCCAGCCTTAATGTGTTCTTCATCATGTACTGATGATTGTTTCAACACGATGAATCAAGGTAGACAATGATGTGACTTCCACGTAAGATATTATAGATTATGAAGTTACATCATAACAAATCTACAACTTCATGATTAAGTCTATTATGAGAGCAGTACTGACTTTACTTACACCTGTTACTCCTGGATTCCAAACTTCGTGGCAGGAAGGATTTTTCGTACCAAGGTAGATAGAGTTCATTTGGTGGGTGGGTCTCATTATCAGGAGCAATATAAGTTCACTCCTGTTCCTGATCTATATTAATTACTTGTTAGATGAAGTTAGCCTAACGGCACTGATCTTCGCAGATGGCGCTAATATCTAGAAGTCCACAAAAAGGTAAACGATTCACTTGAGAATATAAAGGACGCCTAACAATAAATGAATAAATTATCGACAATTAATCGAAACTTCACTTGTCAAAACGTCATGTTATGAACATTATGATTCATTTAACATAAATCACTTACATCCTGCGTAGAAATCCGCTTCTGATTGACTTTTCAGAGAGTGATCTTGAACTCGTAACAGTGAAGAGCCTAGACACCAGCTCAAACTACATGGAGGATGCAGCCAAGGCAAACGCAACCCTTAAACTTATGCGAAGATAAATCCTTTAGACTCAGTACAGAGAGTAGCAACCAAATGGGCGTTAGGGTTAAAACATAAATCTAACGAAGAGAGATTCCGACGCCTAGGATTATTCTCGTCGAGTAACATGAGAATAAGGGATGATTCGACAATGACACACAATAAATTCAGTGAACTAGCCCACCCCAGAATGAGCATATTATCAGAAAATCATCACCTCACTCCTCAAGGCAACCCTCGGAGGATTGCAAATCGGAGAGCAAATACCTAAATGCGCTCTCACTTTTCCAATCGTTTGGAATGCCCTACCAACCAATGTGACCACAGTCCCGTCAGTGGATAGATCCAAAAGGAGATTCAACAAACACATATCATGGAGTATCATCCAGCTGCGTTTGATACATGACCCATAATTTAACACGGTTATCATTACTGCATATCAGTAAATACTTTCTTTCACTGTTATTATCATTTCCATTCCACCCCAACTTTTTCAATTCCATCTTTTCTTAACTTAAAAATTAAGCCAATTATTAATTTATTCTTTAGACAATCAACGTCCCTTAGCACTTGAGTTATCGCTTCATTATTTTTACATTGTAATCAAACAACTTACTACCCTGAGACAAACACGTGCTCAAGCTACAAGACACACAGATCCATAAGCGCCCACCAAAATGACTAGAGTTCGCGCAGTCGAGCGGTAAGACTACCGTTCATCGGGCGCTGAGTATTAGAAAACGTACTGAAACAAACTCGTGATAAGGATATTGAATACATTGGACCTATATACATATGTATGGTGATACTTCTCTCCCTGTTCCATTTTTATTTGTACGTAGTCTGACGACACTGATGACTTGTGAAGGTGTGTCACAAGGAGCTGTTCTTTACACTCTTCTCTCCCACTTTACCTTCATGATATGAGAAGTTCCATAAAAACACTTGCTAAGTACGCTAACCATCTCATCGTATATATGCCGGATTGTACCTTTCCACATCCTCCTGAAATGAATGAGTTCTTATCTCTTATTAAACGATGGTCTGTTGTTATTGGTGCTTAACTCAATCCTTCTAAATGTTAAACTGTCGACCATGGCCTGAGATATGAGTGGCACCTAAACATCCGGTTGGAATTACAGAAACATTGTAGCACTCTAAATTCTCCAATATAAAGATCATCAAAAGTCATTTATCTCGGTATAAGTTTTTCTTTTAGTCTTCTCATATCTTATTGTTACCCCAGAAAGTTTTCCACCTGACTTACCATATAAAGAGACTACATATTTTTAGCATCACTCAACATTTACTTTGATGATTTGTTAATTCTTGCATATTACCTATTATTCTTTTCTGTCATCTTTGATTCGGTTCCAGGCTTTTGAACAAAGACTTTACTGAATTGGGGAGAGGGCTGAGGGTAGTTAGCAGAATGTATGGTGAATCTTCTAAAGTCACCATTGATATGGTTGTGGATGGACATATACGATATTGAAAACTTCTGGCAGATGTTATCTTATCCGATACCAATCATTCATTTCATATATTTCTCCCTGTATATATTCTGATATACTTCCCCCAAACGTGGTGAGTGCAGATATGCCAGACATTCAGGATTAGGCTGCAACAACAGACTGATTGGCAAATACTGACACGTCGACTGAGGTAGCATGATATGTGTTTAGGAGTACTCTTAGTTTGATCTCATCCTCGTTTGTACCATGTTAAGTATGATGTAGACCAAATAAGTATCTATGGATAATTAGACGGATCGATGAACTTACTAGATACAGGGGAAAGCGTTGGAGTACATACATCTCAACATGTTTTGAGCAGTACAGATGCACTCAATGCAACACTTGCAAAGCACTGATAAGTAGGCCCAGACATTCATATGAAAAACAATTGTTTAGGGGTTGTGAAAATGGTCAGAAAAGTTTATTCTCGGACATGAAGAGACGAACCCACCACTTTTGATACGAGAAAATTCATTGATATCGGAAAGAAATGATGTTGTCGAAGCTGAAGCTTTACCAGAATATTTTATTATTGTTTTCTATTGGCGATAGTGAAAGACCAACAACAATCGTGATAACGGCGGCTTGTTGGTGGATTCTCTGTTTATTGTGATTATGGTTAATTCAACATCTCAAACCAGATAAGTTCAGTGGTACTGACGATATTCACTCTTTGATTATGAAAGCCCTGTTGGATGTAGTTGCTGAACCTCTGTCCATATTGTTTGATATGTTTTGACGCAGTCTAAATTGTTGAGAGACTGGAAAGACTCATTACTCAGTCCAGTTTGTAAGACGCGGAGCAGGAAATTAGTAACTATCAACCAATTAGTCCATCCAGTGTGGTCGTCAAACTATTGTAGAAGGGCATGACCTTTTATTCAGAGAACGACGTGATTTTAAAAAAGCCTATCATTCTGGGCAGACCTGCTTATTTTAAGAAAAGACTGAGCTGCAAAGAAAGAGAAATATTTCTGTAGATATAATTTTCGTAGATCTAAGTAAAGTTCCTTGTCTGGGTCTTACGTTAAAACTGGACATTTTTGGGATTCATTAGGAAACTATATACTGGATAAGTTACTTTCTTAATGATAAGAGACAACGGATACGGATGAATGGAGTCCTATCAGCGTGAAATTCCGCAAAAAGTAAGGTGCTTCATGGCACGATTTTCGGTTCTTTTCTTTTTTCCACTTTATGTAAGTGATTTTCCAACTGTAACAAAGTTATCTTTTCTGCTCTTTGAAGATAACATAATGGTTAGGAGATACATAAACGGTATATAATATGAAATACTATTACAGGTTGACCTACATTTTCTGGTCGAACGGATGGTTAGGTGGTCATTAGAAGTTAATCCTAACAAGGGTGTGGTGATGCAATTCAATAACTGCGACGACTCATATCACTACACAGTATGTGGAGTCGTGTTGCCTAAAGTAGAAGACCACAAAACCTAGAAGTCATAATAAGCGAAGAACTCAAAACCACGAGTAACTGCAAGGTTGCTGCTGCCAAAGGCTGCAGGGTCTTATGGATTTTTCGTAAGTCATTTTAGTAAATGAACAAGGAAATGTTTGGGGTGTTAAACCCGATTTTTATGAGACCTCATTTGGAGTATGGGGTTCAAGTAGCAAGTGCTTATTTTAAGCAAGAGGCGGACATGCTCGAACGGGTTCGACGGCGAGGGACCAAAATGATCAAGAGTCCTCCCGGCTTGTCTTATCATGGCCGACTGCGACGTCTCAAACTATCTTGCTGCGGTTTAGGAGACGACCTAATATCGGCTTATCGTATACTGAACGGCGACAATGGTAATAATATGTCTTATCTTTCCCTTCCATCTAGGAATGGTCATCCGAGAGGACTTACTAAGAAAGTTCAAAAACCGAGGTTAATTTGTTGACGTCTGCAATTCCGGTTATCGCGCCGAATAATGCATTACTGCAGTTCTCTTCCGGAATACTCTATTTCAGCACGTTCCGTTCACGCAGTTAAAGCAAGACTGGACCACCACGGTGTTACGGATTGCAAGGATTAACATAGGTTGGCAGACCTTCTATCCATACTACTGAAGACTGATTTAAGGCCAGGTAGCTTACCTATGTTTATTTTAATTTATGGATATATATATATATATATATATGCTCAGCGTCTTTTTCCTTTTTGTTTTGGTAAATAGACTTTTTTGAAACGTTTCATGCTGTAGATTTTCTATTGTGATAAAAATATAAATGGAATAAAGTTATTTACATTGATACTGACCTGGCGCATTTTGCAAGTCAACAAGGTCATTCGTTATTAACGCTTGTGGTGAGTGGGTATTTTCTTCCTCAAAACCGTAGTCATGTTTCTGTTTACTACAAACAAGACATGACTTTATGTTCTTTCTTTCGTCGTTCTATCTATTAAATAATACTTGGTGGATTGTTGACTTATATATGTCGATAAATATTAATCAAAAGTAATACTGCCGCTTAGATCTAATATTAGATCTTGTCTGCAGCGTTTTTGAATAATCACTAACCCATTCTCCTCTTCCTGGTTTTTTACGTTGTCTTGCCATTTTTGAGATTAATCAAAGCTAACCATTATGTGTTAATAAACACACACAGGAAATATATCTCCTTTTTGTTTAAATCTAAGTAGGAAGGAGACCGGCTTGAAACAACAAACTATCACGCCACAATGACGAAAGCTGAAATTCCATGTAACTTCTAACGGAAATCATGAGTAAATACAACCTTAGCATGTCCGGTAACCATGTAAAAACAAGATGTAAATATGTAACGGCTGTAATCTTTAATGTGTCCTTTAAGAGATAAGCGTCATATGGTCCAAGTGACTATGAACTGGATAAATTCTCATGTTCAGCGAGTTTTCATTTTAATAGGTATAAACCATGTACATTTCCTGGTTAAGAACTAAGCTTGTAATAAATCGAAATATCCCAAGTCCTTACGGATGTATCGATTTACCTTTCAGACTCCTTAGCAATTTTTTGAACCACTTCAACCGATAGGATTGGTTTTTTATAAAGATTAAAATGTATGTCTGCAGTCCAGATTAACACATTATTAAGACACTCAGTTACGTCTACTACCCCTAATGTTTGTGTCGGGACTAAACCGACCGTTGTTGCCACCTTGACGTGGTGGTCGGGCTTGCCTATCGTGATGAAGCAACCGAACTATACTGACTGGAGTAACTGTTCCTCAAGGTTCTACCACGTCAGAAAGGTCGGTTGAAGAGCGGTAAGACAAAAGCAACAAACCCAAGGTCAAAAGGCGAAGTCGTACTGCTGACTGTACAGAGGTGTGACAGCAGTAAGGTGTTTCCTTCAGACAACCAGCATGACAGCGATGTTGCCTTCCCACAAGGAGGGGTGGGGTTAGAAAAGGTCGACCCTAAAAATGCACACTTCGCCTTATCCCATGGATGTCCGTCTCCGGCGGTAAGGTCTCAACAAGTACGGAGCTAACACAAAAATTGCCCATAAAAAGGTCGTGTGTGACCGACCTCAAGCAGTTGTCCCTTGGGCACTGCGGTCATGCTTCCAGGTCACTAAGACCACTTCTAATCCTTTTCAGGTACCTCCAGTAGAACCCTTCCACGGTGTGGGCAACCGGGAAGTGATAACCGCCCTCATACCTCTAACAGCACTCAAGACCACTGGATTCATAATCAACCTCCCTCTTCAATTCCTATTATTCCTCCTACATCAATTTCAAACTCTAAACTTTTTTCGGCTTCCCCCTCAAGTATCACCATAGCCAACGATTCTAGTGCTCAAAACACTGTTCCAGGTCTACTGAAACCTCGCTCCACACTACACATTGGAGCCTTCAATGTACGCACCCTATGTCAAATCGGTCAGCAGGCTTCCTTGGCTAAAACCCTAGAATCTCGTACCATTGATGTACGCTGTGTCTCCGAAACACGCATACAGGATCCCAGTGTGGTCATTCACTTGACCTCACCTCGGCAAAACGGAGAGCCAACGAGATACACCCTCCGTGTATCTGGTGACCCGATGGCCAGTTCTCGTGGACTGGCAGGTGTGGGCATAGCACTAAGCATGAGGGATGAACAAGCACTGTTAGAGTGGATCCCCGTTAACAGTCGTCTATGTGCTGTCCGGCTAAACGGCTACGTAAGAACTCGGAAGGATAGGGACACATGTTGCCTTGTTGTCGTTTCTGCCTACGCTCCCACCGACTGCAGCTCAGATGAAATGAAAGATGAATTTTACAGAATGCTGTCTGAACTTCTTCAGAAAGCTAAACTTATTTTTTATTTATTTATTTATTTGAGCACATAAATATTGGTACAAGAGAGCGCCAATATATATGCGCCACACAAAACAATGAAAATTCGAAGAGAGAAAAGAAAAAAAAACTAGGGAGCACAAAAGAAAAAGAGAACGATAACAAAGAGATTGGTGAAAGGTAGTGCGGTCGTAACGATGGAACAGAAAGGTACAATCAGAAGAAATCTTTCAAGTAAGGGAGACACAACCACTTTTTATAAAGAAAGTAAAAGAAGGTTACAGCAGGATCGCCACTGGCTTCTATTCTGAGCCATATCTGATAACGTCTCTAGCCACTGTGTAGCACCATCTCTCAGACCGCAACCAGGGAGTCGTGAAGGACCGACAGAAGCCAGTCCTTTGCAGCTTTCTTTCATACCACGACACCATGTCATGCACTGACCACCTCTCCGCTTTTTCCAACCAGTCCCAGAGTCGGCAAATAATGCACGACGTGGAATTCTCTGGGACGACATTCGTAGAACATGTCCAAGCCACCGAAGTCGGTGTTTCAAGATGGTGACACCAATTGAATTATCATCTCTGTGCCCAAACACACGATGCCGAACCTCTGCATTACTAACATGGTGTTGCCACTGAATGTCAGCGATCCTTCGGAGACAGCGATGATCGAACACAGAGAGTCGTCTAACGTCCTCAACTCGGAGAAGCCAGGTTTCACAAGCATAGAGCAAAACTGCTCTCACCGACGCGTTGTAGATCCGACCTTTTACAGCCAGACTAACATCACGAAGGCGCCAAAGGTGGCCCAGATTGGCATAAGCCGCTCTGGCTTTCACTATACGTGCATTGATCTCATCACTCACACCCCCACCAGCACTTATGCAGCTACCCAGATACACGAACTTCTCGACTACTTCTATCTGCTCACCATCCAGGGTGAGTACAGGATTGGAATCCTGCCAGTCTTGTAGAAGTACTTTGCACTTCGAAGGTGCAAAGCACATACCATACCTACGGACACTGATTGCCAACTGATTAAGTGCGGATTGCATGCCTTGGGCATTATCGCACAGTAAGACAATATCATCCGCATACTCAAGGTCGAGAAGTCTTTCTCCAGGCAACAGATCCACACCACCATTACTTACATTCATCAGAGCTGTTTCCAGAATGTCATCGATGGCAAAGTTGAAGAGGAATGGTGAGATTGGGCAACCCTGCCTAACCCCACTACTCGTATAGAACAATGGAGAGAGGTGGTTGTATGCCCTCACTCTGCCTGAGGTGTTTTTATATAGGGCTTTTAGGATGTTAATAAACTTCTCAGGCACACCCTTCTTCAATAGACAATCCCAGAGAACAGTCCTGTCCAACGAATCGAAGGCAGCCCTGATGTCAAGAAACACTACGATTGTTGGCCTTTGATAAGTATGGCGATGTTCTAACATTTGGCGGAGGGTGAAGATATGATCAATACAACCTCGACCAGAACGAAACCCAGCCTGCTCCTCGCGAGTCAATCTTTCTCGGGTTTTGAACAACCTACGAAGTATGACGGAAGCCAATAGCTTGGACGCAATCGGAAGTAGACTTATCCCCCGATAGTTGTTGCAGGAACGACGTGAACCCTTTTTAAAGATAGGGACAACTATCAACTCATTCCATGACGTTGGTACACTCTCTAATTCCCAAACCTTTGTAAACAACGTCGTCAATTCCTTAGTCAAAAAGTCACGACCATCTTTAAAAAGAGCCGGAGGTAAGTCATCTGGGCCAGGTGATTTGTAACGCTTCAAGAGTTGGAGTTCCTTGCGGACTTCCTCCTCGTTTGGTGGACCAGTCGTCACCGGCCATGGAGGGCAGGATAGTCTGACCGATGTTGCCGGAGCAGCAGGCCAGTTGAACTGCCCTTCGAAAAATTCTGCCCATCGTCCACGACGTCGATGGATGTTAGTGATTGGCATCCCATCATCCTCGCAGATTGTTTCACTCACACCAGACTTCTTGCTGCCAGTGGCTCGGATGAGCTGGAAGAGCTTCCGGTAGTTACCAGATGCAGCTGCTGCTTCCATCTCATTAGCACGCTCCGACCACCAGGCTTCTCGGTCCTTACGCAAGCTTTGCCCAAATTCCTCACGTAACATCCTTCGTTTATGGTCAAACTCACGGTCACCCGGAGTCGACCGACGGGCTTCAATAAGTTGTAAGGAACCAGAAGAAACCCAGTGCTTATAAGCGGGACGTTTCGCAAACCCACAACTGACTGTTCCCGCCATTTTCATGGCGTCATGCAATTGCAACCAATGCTCATCTATACTTTTCGGTGGAGTGGTAGCTAGCCTAGAAGCTAGCTCGGTTCGATACTTATTTGCAACCAGCTTGCTAATATCAATCCTTTGATGGCGGTCACTTCGTTGTCCACTGAAAAGTAAGGCAAGATTGGCGCAGACCAAGGCATGGTCAGAGTCCAGATAGGTACTCCAAAAGGAGCGGCAGTCTTTTACACAACCACGCCAGCGGAAGCTGATCGCGATGTGATCAATCTGAGTCCAGGCTTGGGATGCAGAGGGAGGACGCCAGGTGGCACATTGGCGATGACTGTGCCGAAAGTTAGTGCTAGCCAGAAACAGGTTGTGGTCTGTGCAAAGTTGCAGTAGACGGTCCCCGTTATCTGACCTGCGACCAACGAGTCCCCATCGGCCACCTAAACGACTCTCTTCTGTGCCTAGACGCCCGACCTGCACATTCAAGTCTCCGGCTAGTACTACAATATCTGTCGAGCGCACTTTCTGGAGAAGAACAGACAGCTGGTGGTAAAACTCATCCTTGATTGCATCCGGGCTGCAATCTGTCGGGGCATAGGCGGAGATGACGAAAAGACATCGTTTCTCACGCCGATTTCTTCTCACTTTGATGGAACTTTCTAATCTAACAGCACATAACCGACTGTTAATGGGGATCCAATCGACTAGTGCTGCCTCAGCTCTAGCGCTTAGTGCGACACCAACGCCAGCAAGACCAGACGAAGATGCCACAGGGT